GTGAATTGAATATCCTATAAGCATCATAAATTCAGCATATGCAAAATAGAACTCATGATCTTTCTTTTCTTTAATTTTTTTAATTAACAAGCTTTTATTCTTTCTTTTTCCCATCTTCTGCCCAGTAGAAAGAGAAAACGTAAACTCTTATAACAAATATGCGTAGTCAAGTGGGAAAAAACCTCCTACAGTGGTCATGTTCAAAAAAATGTGTGTCTTATTCTGCACATTGAGTCTGCACATCTCTGTCAGGAGGTGGGTAGCACGCTTCATCACTAGTACTCTTGGATTGTGGTTGATCTTTGTGTTCATCAGAGTTTCCAAGTCTTTCACATTTGTTCATTTTTATGCTTTTGTTTTATTATAAATTTTTCTTCTGACTCTGGTCACTTCATTCTGCATCCATTCAGAAACCCTCATTTTAATTACATCTTATAGCACAAAAACATTTTATTACATTCATATACCACAATTTGTTTAGCCATTCACTGACAAAACATCTCCTTAGCCTCCAGGTCTTTACCATCACAAAAAGAACCACTATAAATATTTTTATACGGATGGTTTCTTTTCCGCTTTCTTTGATCTCTCTTGGGAGCATAGGAGTACAGTGTTTATCCTGGGTCAAGGGATATGCACAATTTAGTACCTTTAGGAGCATAATTCCAATTGCTTTCCAAAATGGCTGTCCAATTCACAGATCCATTAATGTACTTGTAGTCCCCCAGCTCCTCAAACATTTGTCATTTTGCATTTTTTGGTCAACTTTGTAAATCTTAAGAGTATGAGGTAGAAATCAACATTACTTTGATTTACATTTATTAGTGATTTGGAGCATTTTTTCACATAGCTATTGATAGCTTAGTTTCTTCCCTTGAGAATTGCCTGTTCATATCTTTTCATAATAAATCATCAATTAGGGAATGTATGTTACTCCTGTATTTTGAATCAGTTCCTTATCTATCTTAGAAATGGGAACTTTATCAGATAAAATTGCTGCAAAGATTCTTTTCCCCAGTTACCTGTTTACCTTATAATCTTAACTGCATTTTTTGTGCAAAAAAAAACCTTTTTAATTTTATGTGATCAATATTGTCCATTTTATCTTCTGTGATGCTCTCTGTGCATCATTTCATTACAAACTCTTCCCCATTCATATATTCAAAAGGCAATTGTTTCTCTGCTCCTCTAATTTGTTTGTGATGTGATATTTTATATCTATGTCATTTATATCTATGTCATTTGGAGATAACAAAGCAAAAATTAGCATGCTCACACAATTCAACTTTTAGGATATTCCCCAATTATTATGGCTGCAGTCTATAGTGTGAAGTGATTATCTAAACTTAATTTCTGCCAGCCTGTTTTGAGGTTTTCCTAAAAGATTTTGTCCAATAGTGAAGCCAGAACTCATTATCTTTCTATCCAAATCCTCCTCTATTCCCAGCTTTTCTATTACTGTCCAGAGGAACACCATCCTACCAGTCACTCAGTCTTGCCATCCAGGTCTTGACTCCTCACTTTCATTCACTCAGTATATCCAATCTGTTATAACAATAACAAAAATAATACTAGCCAGCATTTAAGGTTTACAAACTGCTTTACAAATATTATCTCATTTTATCATTACAACAACCCAGTGAGGTAGGTTTTTACAAACCTATTTTACTACCTGGTTAATAGTCTTAGTGTACTATTATACTCATATCAATTCACAAACCTTCAATAACTTCCTATTGCCTACTGAATAAAGTATAAAATCCTAACTCTGGCATTCAAGGCCTTCCACAGCTTGGCTCTAACCTACCTGTCCAAACTTTTACTATTCTCTTTCACAAATTCAATATTCTAGTCAACGTGGATTATGCTTCATCCCTAATCCTTATCCTGCCCTCTCTCATTTCTTCAGCTTTGTTCGTACTGTCTCCTATACCTAGAATTGATCCCAATTCAATTTCTATCTGTTGAAGACCTTACTTCCTTCAAGACCCAACTCACATGCCACCTCTTCCATGAAACTTATCCTGATGCCACACCACGCCACCAAATGAAAGTGATTTCACATTTTCCAAAGAAAAAACAGGCATACCAGGGTTATTTGACTTATCCAAGGTCACACAGCTAGTAAGTGTTTGAGACAGGATTTGAATGCAGGTCTTTCTGATTCTAGGTAGGGCACTCTATCCAGTGTACCACCTAGCTGCCTCAAGTTTTGTTAAGTGTTGTCAAGTTTTGTTTTTTCTGCTTTCATTGTCAAATATTCTTGCATATGTCCCCATCTCTCCACTCATAAAACTATCACTGATATAAGCCCGTATCTTACATGTCCCTCTTACCTATTAAAATACCTTTCTGATTGCACTCCCTGTCTTAAGTCCATACAATCCATTGTCCACATCTTCCAGCTACCCAGATGATTTTCCTAAGGCATAGATTTGACCATGTCACCTCCTCCCCCCATACTCAGTAAGCTCCAGTGGCTCTTAATACCAACAGAATGAAATATAAAGTCCATTGTTTGACATTTAAAGCCCTTCAAAACCTTCCTACCTTTTAAGTCTTCTTGCACTTTACTCCCCTCCATGCCTTTGATGATCTGGACTACTTACAGCTCTTCATCTCCCAATTCCATGCCTCTCATTAGCTGTGCCTCATACCAGGAATCCTCTCCTTCTTCACCTCCACCTCTCAGCTTCCCTGGCTTCTTTCAAGACCCATCTCAAATTCCATCTTCTACAGAAGACTTGTTTTTTACCCCATCTCTATTCCTTCTAGTGCCACACCTCTGAGAGTACCTTCTATGTACTTTGTATGTATCTTGTGTGCATTAGAATGTGAGGTCCTTGAGGGTAAACACGTTGTTTTTGACTCTCATTTTATTCCCGGTGTTCAGGACAATGACTGGTGTAAGAGCTTACTCAATGCTTGGTGACTGATTAATCTGGCAGATAAGCCCTAGTGTGGCTATTTCTGAACACTAACTTGTTTCAGGAAGGGAAAGCACAGGGGTAGAGGGAAGTAAAAGGAAATGAAGAGTGCATGAAAATGAGGTTAGGAGACAATTGTCTAGTCTCTCAATCAGAAAAGTAATCACTTTTTCACCCAGTGGCAACCTCAGGTTGGAGATTTCCTCAACTGATCTCAAAGGTTTGTCCAACCAAGCTCCACCTTCCTTTCTCTGCTCTCGGGCTTCTCCATCAGCAGCCCCTTCTGCTGTCCCCAGTCCTCACCCTCCCCTCACTTAATTCACAACTTTAGGAATACCAAGTCTGATAGTGGAGTCAGGTCACCATCAGAAGAATCTTAGAAGACACAAAGATGAAACAAGTATTCATTAGGGAGACAATGTTGGATTCTGGAGGCAGAGGATGAAAGGAGGTCAGTTTAACTGGAATGTAGTATGCGCAAGAGAGAGCAATGTGAGAGAAATGAAGGACCAACCACTGTAGATGTGGAAAATGAAGCTGTAATAGCAATAGAGGGAGTGGTCCAGGAACCAGGAGGATTTGAGCAAAATTCAAGGTTTAGGTATATAAGTGTATTGGTTGGGGAGAAACCATGATGACCCTTCTGGGATCCACCACCACAATCCTTCCAGATATTCAGCCTTCCAGATGTCCAACCTTCCTCTTCAACACCTGTAAGTCCAGCTTCCTGCACTTAGCTCTCGCCTTAGAGGGAAAGGGAAGGTATAGAAACATAGAGAAGGGCAGACTCTAAGATGGGACTGGCTACCTGAGTAAACCCTATAGTCTAAGAACTAGGAGACAACAAGATTAGAAGTAGGAGAAGCTACTGGGAAGAAGGGAGAGATGAAATAAAACTTAGTTTTTTGAAATTAGCTTGAGTCTGACTAGCCATGTGTCCTCCAATACAGAATATCTTAAAGGAGAGAGACTTGGTCATTTAGGGGGACTGGTAGCTTTGGGTTATTTAATGCCTATGAGAAAATCTATGGGGCAGTTAGGTGGTGCAGTGGATACAGCACCGGCCCTGGAGTCAGGGGGACCTGAGTTGAAATCTGGTCTCAGGCCAGACACTTGACATTTACTAGCTGTGTGATCCTGGGCAGGTCACTTCACCCCAACTGCCTTGGAAAGAAAGAAAGAAAGAAAGAAAGAAAGAAAGAAAGAAAGAAAGAAAGAAAGAAAGAAAGAAAGAAAGAAAGGAAGAAACAAAGAAAGAAAGAAAAAGGAAGGAAGAAAGAAAGAAAGAAAGAAAGAAAGAAAGAAAGAAAGAAAGAAAGAAAGAAAGAAAGAAAGAAAGAAAGAAAGAAAGAAAAAGAAAGGAAAGAGAAAATCTATGTTTGTGAAGGTATTGTGAGTGTATGCTATATACATATATATGAATGCATTGCAGCAACGTCAAGATATGGAGAGGATGGTTTCTTAGGTGGATGAACTGGGCACAGATAACACCCTCAGAAAGATACCTGGAGATTAAGCTCAATTCAACAAGCATTTATTAAGTGCCTACTATGTGTTAGGTTCTACAATAGGTACTGGGGATGCAGGAACAAAAGTGAAAGGAGGAGGAGGCACTTGAGATGATCTTTGAAAGGAAGTAAGTCTAAGAGGCAGAGGTGAGGTTGGAGAGCATTCTGGGCCTTAAGGCAGGAGATGGAAGTAGCTCAGCTTACCTGGAATGTAGCATGCAAAAGAGAGAGCAATGTGAGACAAATGGAGGACCAATCACTGTAGTATCTTCAGTGGATACGCTGCATCAAGGAAGGCTTCCTGAATAAGGTGGTCTTTTGTTTAAAGGAGATGACAGTTAGTGACAGAATAGGCCCTAATAGAGGGAACTGAATAGACTGAATGAATTCAGGTGTCCTGGGGAGACAGTCCACCTCTATTGTGCAGTAGGAGCAGTGTTGAAAAACACACATGACTTCAAGAACATTCCACACTGATGGGCAAGTAAGAGGAGCTAGAATTTTCACAGAGACATTTAGGGGGACACTCCATGTTCCCTGACATGTTCCAACCTTTCCTCCACAGGCTGTGCCTTCCTCACATATTGCGCCCGGGACTCAGCCCTCAAAGCCCAAAGTGCACTGCATGAACAGAAGACCCTGCCAGGGGTAAGTCATAAATCCTTTGGGAGTGGGAGAGGGAAGTAGAGTGCCAAAGGGGCAATCACTTCAGAGTAGGAATGTCTTCACCCTCTCACTCTTGGGTAGAGATGATGTGTGAGCCTTGAGAAGGCTTAGGATTTGTTCTGAGTCAAGATGGGGATAGAAGGCAGGGGAATGGGGCAGGATAAGTTGGTCCCTTCCCCTGAGGGTCCTGGGGTTAGTGTGTGTGCTTGGCTTTCATTCCTTAGATCAGAAGTTCTTTATCTTTTTGGCAATCTGGTGAAGGCTTATAGATCCCTTCTCAGAATAACAAATGCATACAATAAAATGTGTAAAATTATACAAAGGACACCAATTATATTGAAATACAGTTATCAAAATATTTTTAAATAGTTCATTCACCCCACGTTAGGAAATTCTACACCAGAGCCATCTCAGCCCTAGTGGCCTAAATATCATGTATCCATGATTCGATCCCTACCTATAGAACCAAAAATCAACTATATTCTGTTTTCCTGGTGATAGAGTAGTAACTGGGGTGGGAGGCAGGGGAGAAGTAGAATGGATGAAGGTTGAAATTTGTCCACCTTGGCTTGGGTTTGGGAGTAGGGAGGAGGAAGGACCTTTGGAACCCTAGGGCTCAGATTCCAACATTAGATGTTCCCCTGGAAGATTCACCTGGGAGCAGCTAGATGGAGCAGTGGATAGAACACCGGCCCTGAAGTCAGGAGGGCCTGAGTTCAAATCCGGATTCAGACCAAACACTTGACACTTACTAGCTCTGTGACCCTGGGCAAGTCACTTAACCCCAATTGCCTAAAAGCAAAAACAAAAAAACAAAAAGAGTCACCTGGTGGTAGATGTAAAGATATTATTGGGGCCTTAGAATTTGCTCAGAGGAGAGGTCAGAACAGGTTATATTCCCAGCCCCTGGATATATTTCCAGCCCATCCAACCCTGTTTGTCATCCCATTACAATTTCCTCCTCCCAATGAAAGTCACTGGGAATGTCCCTTTGCCACAATCTGAAGAGTGATGGATGCCTTCTCTGTGGAAGGCAGTGTTTGTATGTTTTATTGGTGGCTGGTCCTGGTTTGGTCAACAGTTGAACAAACATTAAATGAAATACAGTGAATGACGTAGGTTTCAAGTAGCAGGAAAATAATGTCCCTCATCACAAAATTAGGCATCCCTGTTGTGGAGATCCACTAACTCTTAAACTCTTGAAGATGACTGGAAGCAGGAGAGAAGGATCATGGAATCAAGAAATCATGATGGAAGGCAACTTAGAGGTCAAATTCTGCATTTGAAAGATTAAGAAACCAAAGGCCAGAGCGTTAAAGTGACTTACCTACAGTCATACACCTAAGAAGTGGCAGAGTTATAATCATAGATGTAGAGCTGGGAGGAACCTTGGAGACCATCATTTTACAGCTGAAGAAACTAGATTTGAATCTAGGTCCTTGATTCCAAATCTCATATTCTTTCTATTTTATGAGGGATAAGTGTATAAACTAAAGGTTCTGAGACAAGAACACTCCTTTCAAGTAGGGGTGGTAACAGAATGCCAGAATCCAGGAAGTCTGGCTCTAGCTCCATGAGACATTCATGTGCCAGAGTTGATAGTGCTAGGTCCAGGAATTTGTGTTCCTATCTTCTCCCTAATAGGTCCCTTCTCCCTCAGATGATGCGTTTCCTCCAAAGTGAACTTTATCAGTTATTTGCTTATTTGTTTATTGTATCCCCAGCTATGGGCTACACACTGGTGGGGAAACCAGAAGAGAAGATGTGATCTAGGTCCTCAGGGGCTTATGACCTTGTCAGAAAGACAAAACATACATGTAATAGTTCAGTGGAAATTTGCTTTAGTGTCACGTATTATTTTTATGACATTGAGTAAGCCACCTAACTTCTTGGCCTCAGTTTCCTCATCAACAAAACAAAATAGTTGGACTAGATTACCTCTAATTTTCATGCTACCTTAATGTAGATGATCCTATGATCATTCGGCAACATGAACAGTAATACTGTAGGAAGTCAGAACAAAAAGAGATCAATGTAACCTAGAGTAGTTAAGGAAGCTTCCTAGTGAATATAGACTCCAAAGGATGCATAGGAACTGGATGGGAAGGAAGATAAGGAGAGGACACTTCAAGTAAAGCAAGTAGCATGAAGAAAGATGCAGATAGGCACATGAGGATATAATGAATGGATTAGCCAGACAAGAATGAAAATATGGGAAGTATAGGAAATAAGGTTTGAAAAGTGTTCAAATTCTAGAATGTCAGAAACAGAAAGGACCTTCGAGATCTTCTAATCTAAGCCTCTAGTCTTAAAGATAAAGAACCTAAAATCCAAAGAGGTGAAACATTTTAAAGAAATTCATCTTGTCTTCTTTCTGTTAGAGTCTGTCACTCCCTGTGCTTGTGGAGGCCTTGAATGCCAGGCTAAGAGTTTGAACTTTGCACAAAAGGAGACAGGGATCCCAAAAGGGTCTTCATCACAGGAGTGAGCTGACCATATCTATACATAGAGAAGAGAGTGATTCATGTGATTTGTGAGGGGCAAAAGGCTGTCTAAGCTCAATGATGCTCAGAACTATCTCTGGATCTGACCCTGACACCACATTAGTATTAGATTCAGAACAAGAAGGAACTTTATAAGTCCTATAGTCCAACCCTCTCATTTTCAATGAGAAAAGTGAAACTAAAGAGGGTGAGGGACTTAGCCAAGGTCACAAAAATTGTAAGGTGCAGAATCAGGATCCAAACCCAGGTCCTCTGACTCCATATCCACTGTAACATGACTGGAGCCTAAAGAGAACACTTGGTGACACCAGCATGAACTATAGCTTCTTTCCATCACAGGGACCCTGGGGGGTGGGGGGAGCGGTTAGTTCTGTCTGGGCTGTGAGACTTGTAATGATCAATAGAGCAACAAAGACCCAATGGATTCAGGGTTAGGAAGAGATGTCCAATACAAAGGAACCACTTCCAATGAATGAGGGTATGGGTAAAGGGAAAGGGTACAGTAGTGAGGACTAAGCTTCTTTATAGATTCCTCTTTGTCACCACCATCCATTGTGTTAGGAGCTTGGTCTTTGACCAGAAGCAGTTTCTACTCTATCCTGAAGCTCCAAGAAAATGGATCATATATAGGAAGCCATTAGAGTGGATTTGGGGGCAACCTGGCATGCTGAAATGGAAAGCGCCGAGCACTTGGAGTTAAAAGACCTGGGTTTGAGCCCTGGCTGTGCCACTAATTAGCTATGTGACCTCAGAAAAGTCACAACTGAGGGCTCAGTTTCCTGATTTGGAATTTAGATGAACTCTAAGGTATCTAAGGTATCTTCTAATATTCTGTGATTTGGGGAGGTATGGGAGGAGGGGTCAACTGGGTAGGTGTCTCCTAATATTTCCCCCCCTTTAAGACCATAAATAATATATGTTAGCACTGTCACAACCCAAGAGCAGAGGTGTCCTCAGCTAGGGGTATGGCCTTAGAGTCAGTAGCTTCAATGAATACTTATTGTCTACCAAATTAAGTTCAAATTCCTTAGCCTGGAGTTTGTCTAGTCACTTTCTAGTATACACCAAGAGACTTTGGCCTGAGTGCAAAAGAAGCTCTTTCCCTTTGTGTGTCAAGAAATCTGAGGCCCAAACTTTATCTCAGAAACACAAGGAAATTCAGAGTCTGGTTGTATCTACCTTAAAAGACACCATCTCCCCAGTAAGGCTATTCAGTCCTGAAGGCCCCTCTTCTCCAGGGCCAAAATATAGCATTGATTCCTTCTGGATTCCACTCTACTTGGATTTATCTGGGTTTCAACCTTCCGAGCTTAACAAAGTGAAAATAAATATTTAATTATTCTCCTAAATAAAAATCGATGGCTCTGCCGGTCTGCAGAGTAAATGGTGTGGGCTATCAATCTTTCCCAAGCTTGGCCAGAGGGAAGTCATGGGAACAGGCAGGAGCTGTACTAAGCCATGCCCTAGGAAATCAAAAATTAAACATAGGGAGAGGAAGAAAGGAAAGAGGAAAGCAGCTGGTCCCTGATAAGACCCCTAAGCCCAAGGCTTTTCTCCGGCTGTTGTCATTGCAAATCCTAAGTATACCCTTCAGATTTGGCTTCATCTGGAAGATGATATCATGAACTATCTCCATTTTCTTTCAGATTTTGAATATGTTGAAGGCACATTAGGGCAGTGGGAGTAAAAAGATGAGTAAATTTGAGGGACATGTGTGTTGGTCATATGGGACAGGGGGTGTATATATAACTTCATGTGTAAACATGTTAATGGAGGGAGAGGTGACATCCTAAATAGGTGGGTAACAGAATGACTGGAATGTACAGATGCCTCAATAGGAGCCCATGTGTACTATAGGTCTTCCACTGGTTTCATAGTAGTGCCTCCTCGGTGAAGTGGGAAGGGACCAGGCAGACCAGTCTGGTATTTAAGGAATCCCTTCCCTACACCAAGGCCCCCTTTACTGAGCTCAGAGCAGTCCCTCCCCCAGCATCAGGGGCAAAAGAATTTCCTCTCTTCCCATGTCACCCCCTTGCCTTCTCTTTCTGGCTATTCACCTGTGCTAAGGACTAGAGATAACCTTGGACTATTCGGTTCTCCTAACTAGGGGAGGCCTGATTATTGGCTTTTCTTACTTGACAGACATTGCTGCTGAGGCTCAAAGATGAGGCTTCTGAAGCATGGAGACCCACAGTTCCCAGATACGCTGGGTCCAGGTGGTCCCTCTTCCACTTTGCTCTTTGTTCTCATGACAGTCAGTGACACATAAACTCAGATCAAACAGTGCCCCATAACACCCAGGTCAAACTTAGGAATCTGTACAATTTGTCGGGGGCTAAACCCTTAGCATAAAGGAATCAAGGAAACATTTCCATAGGTTTTATCTTCTACTCCCACTGACCTAAAAGCCCCAAAATTTTAAACTTCTACTACCTATCACATGACCAAGATATTTTCTATCCTAGCAATACATTTCTG